GTTGTCAATCTCCCGTGCCACGTTCAGGATGTGCGTGACCCTGTGGGGACATAGGTGATACCCCAACGGGTGTCCTATGATGACCTCATACCTCATGGCCCCACCCATGCCATAGGATCCCATGCCACACCATGTCACTCCGGATGACCCCATACACATCCATGACATTCCAGATGACCCCGTACCCACTGTGCCACCCCAGATGACCCCGTACCCACCCCTGACACCCCAGATGCCCCCATGACCACAAAGACCCCATGCCACCCCAGTGGCACCCCAGATGACCCCATGCCATGCCGGTGTCACCTCTGATGACCCCATGACCACCCCACCATGACCCCAGGTGCCCCTGTGCCATGCCACACTCACTTGTTCTGCTGCAGCTCCTCCAGGTTGGCCGCATTCCACTCGGAGCCCTGTGCGGTGACAGCCATGAGGGGTGGGGACACCCTTGCCCACCCTGCCCACCCTGCCCACCCCGCTGCCCACCAGGTAGAGGTGCGGGAACACACGTGAGGGCCGGTCCATCTGCGCCAGCACCAGCAGCATCTCGTTGTCGATGAAGTCCTTGTGCTGGGCCAGGCTGTGCCCCGTGCGCCACTCCAGCTCCTCCCGCACCTGCACACCACCAGGGGTGAGGGACGGCGCTGCCTGGCCTTCCCTGTCCCCCCCACCTGCTGCCACCCACCTCCTTGGAGGTGACGTTCTCCAGGTCGGCAGTGGCCATCACGTCCCGCAGCAGCGCCCGCACCGCCTGCTCCGACAGCTCTGGTGCCGCTGGCCTGGCACCCCATCACCTCATCATGGGTGTCACCACCGGCACTGCCCACCCACCCCAGCCAGACCATGCCCTGCACAGACCCCGCCTCCCTAAATGCAACCCCTGCATCTCCATGACCCATTTTCTTTAAGTGGGAAACTTAAAAAACTGGAAGCTCTACCCATTTTATTTAAGACCCACCCGTTCCTTTAAGCCCCACCCCATTCCTTCAAGCCCCACCTCATTTCCTTTAAGCCCCACTTATTCCTTTAAGCCTCATCCTATTTCCTTTGAGCCCCACTTTATTTCCTTTAAGCCCCACTTTGTTTCCTTTAAGCCCCACCCCATCCAGACAAGCCCTGCCCCGTAACCCACACGCGGAATGCAGACCCCAGCCCTTGGCACAAGCCCCACCCGGCAGAACCCCGCCCTCACAGCCCCACCCAATGCCCCACCCTTACACCACAAGCCCCCCGTACCCGGGCTGTGGGTCGGCTCTTACCGCAGGGGCGGGGGCGATGCCGGGCGCACGGACTCGAGGTCGGCCATGGCCAGCCACTCGTTGAGGCAGCTCTGCTCCGAGCTCAGCGCCGCCGCGTAGCCGCGGGCCCAGGCCAGCGCGGGGCCCCCCGGGATGTGCCCGCCGCGGGCAGCGTCCTCGCAGGCACGGTGCAGCTCCTGCAGCACAGCCCTGCCGCACGCCACCTGCCACCCCTGCTCTGCCACCGCCACCCCGACACCGCCCCAGCACAGTCTGCCGCCACCCCAACACCGTGCCCCTGTGTCGGCCGTCCCCTCCATGTGGATGCCGCTATCCCTCTGCCAGCTGTGCCCAAACCCTCCCCCAGCCCTGTTCCCGTCACTGTGCCCATGGTGGTGCCTGTAGGTCTGTGTCCTGGCTCTGCCCATGGTGGTGCCCACATCCCCTGTGCCCACGCTGACACCAATGTTCCCTGGGCCCCAACAGTGCCCATGTTCCCCATGCCCCCAGCAGTTCCCGTATCCTGTGTCCGTGGTGGTGCTCCCATCCCCTGTGCCCTTGGCAGTGCCCACATTCCCCGTGTCTGTTGTGAGCTCAGATCCCCCATGCCATGGTGGTGCCCACACCCCCTTGGCCCGTGGCAATGTCCATGTCCCCCATGTCCAGGGTGGTGCCCACACCCCCATGCCCATGGTTACACCCAGGCCTCGCTCACCACATGGTCTGCACCGAGATGGGCTTGAAGATGCGGGTCTGTCCACCCGACGTCACACTGAACCCCCTGGGCACCACGGGGATACGTGTGGGTCAGGGTGAGCACCCCAGGCCCACCCCTCCCCATTCCCAGAATCCCGGCCCCCCCTTACCCATCGCCGTCGAGGAACACCTGGGTGTCGCTCCAGAGGGGCAGCACCATGCCCAGGGTGCAGCGGGCGGCCCTGGGGCGGGCACAGGTCAGGGGGTGCGGCCGCCCCACCGTGTCCCCCCCGCACCCCGCTCACCCCTCGTGGGCGAAATCCACTCCCAGCAGCGCCGTCTGGCCCTCGGCGCCTGCCTCCTCCGGCCGCACCACCAGCAGGTACCGCACACGCCGCGGCCGCGCCGACTCCAGCCGCACCGCCTGAGCGGGAGGGGGGCATTGGCAGGGGGATCTGCCCCTCCCCAGAGCCCCCCAGTGCTCCCAGGGACCTGGGAGGAGCATCAAGCATGCCAGGGCCAGGCTGGGCCGTATCCCATCCTTACACCATCCCCATCCATTCCATCCCTGTTCCTATTCTGTCCTGTCCTGTTCCGTCCCTGTCTTGACATCATCCTACCACATCCCTGTTCTGTTCCTGTCCATATCCCATCCCCATTCTGTCTCCATCCCATCCCCTCCCTGTCCCCATCCCATCCCCATGTTCCAGAGGGATCCATGCCCTACCAGCCGGATGGCATCCTGGGGGCGCAGCAATTGCATCATGAGGTGCAGGTGCTTCTCCTGCTGCCTCGGGGCCTGGCCAGGAGGCTCATCTGGTGGAGGCTCATCCAGGGGGGTCTCAGCCGGGGGGGGCTCGTCCTGGGGAGGCTCCTCTGCAGGCAGCAGCAGCGCAGCCCCCTTGACCATGACAAAGCTCTGCCTGGGGGGTAGGAGGGTCCTGAGCAGCTGGGGCAACCCCAGAGCGCTCCTCTGAGGGAGACAGAGCTGGGGAGGGGGCAGCTGTACCCTCCCCATCCCAGTGCCCCCCATCCCGGGGGTCCCGAGGCCCCTCTCACCGCCGCTGCAGTTTGCCACGTCTGGGAGCATCTTCCTCCTGCAAATTGTGGGGGGCAATTCCTGGGGGGAGCGTGACCCCAGGGCACGGGCAATGCCTGGGGGTCCCACCCCCCTTGACCCCCCCCAGCATGGACACCACAGTCCAGTGACCCCTGCCAACCACCACCCCCATGGGCCCCTGGGGAGGTGTAGGGGCCCCATGGGGGTCCCACTGGGGAGGTGGATTCCTGGGGACTTCCCCTCGGAATAGCAGAGGGGGTACTGCCCCGGTGCCCCTCACCCTGGAATGGGGAACCTGGGATGAGCACCCAGAAAAGGCCCAGTGGGAGAGGGGGGGCACCGGGAGCCACTGGGACAGTGAAGGGACTGGGAGGACTGGGGAAAGTGGGAGCAACTGGGGACAACCATCCACACTCCCATATTCCCCCCTTAACTGCGGGAGCAGCGGAGACACCAACGTGCACTGAGGGCAACTGGGTAAACTTCCAGCAAACTCGTAGTAAAGTTCCACCGGGAACGGCCGGGATAACCTTGCACCGGGAGCGACCGGAGATTTCCGCCCCCCACCCCCTCTTCCCTCTGGGATCCCCCGGACTAGCCCATCGCGACCTCCGAAGCACCGGGGCTCCCGGGAACAGCCCCCCGCACCAGAACCCCCCGAACCAACCTAAACACCCCCCAGGGCACCGGGACGCGCAGGAGCTCCGAGACCCCCCGGCCCATCCTGTACCCCCGCACCGGGATCCCCCGGGGCTCCGGGACAGCCCGCTTCCCCCCGGGAGTCCCCATCCCCCGCACCGGGATGGCCCGGGACAGCCCGTACCCCCGCTCCGGGACCTCCCCGGGCTCCGGGACCCCCCGGCCCGTCCCCGCCGGGATGCCCCGCTCAGCCCCCGTGCCGGAGCCGCACTCACCGCGGGGCCCCCGGGCGAGCCCCCCGCCCGCCGCACCGTCACCAGCGCCATGCCCCGCCGCGCCGCCCCCCCGCACCAGGAAGCGCCGCCGCTGCCCCGCCCGGACGGGAACGGGAACGGGAGCGGGAGCGGGCACGGCTCCGGGCACGGCACGGCCACGGCAACACCGCCCCGGGACCACCGGAGAGCCCCCGCTCGAGCGGGGCATCCCCAGCATCCCGGAGCCGCCCCGGCAGCCTTTCCCGGGGATTAGCCGGGACCCCCACGCGCGTTGCCCCTGGGCAACTCAGGATCCGCATTCCAGCCCGTGGGACGCCCCCACCCCCAGGAAAGAGGGAAACTCCCGAGCTCCCCGGCACGTGGGACCCCCCACCATGTCGCCAGCAGATGGGAACCCACCCAGTTTCCCAGAACCTGGGACCCTCCAGGTCCTCAGAGGGTGGGAGCCCTCCGAGGGTTCCTGGCACTTGAGACCTCACCCAGGTCCCCAGAATGTGAGACTCCCCACGCCCTCAGATCTCCAGAAAATGAGAAGCCCCCAAGGGTCCTGGCACCTGGGACCCCTCAGGTCCACAGCAGGGGGGAACACCACAAGAGACCTCAGCACCCATGCCGCCCCAGATCCCACCAGGTGGGAATCCCCAAGGGTCCCCAGCAGGTGGGGAAACCCCCCCCCCCCAGTTCCCCAACCCATGGGACACCCCCAGGTACTCCGTAGGTGTGAATATCCTGAGGGTCCTCAGCACATGGGACCCCCCCAGGTCTCATCAAGTGGAAATCCCCTGAGGGTCCCCAGCATGTGACAGCCCCCCAAAACCCATCACCCCACGGGGCCCCAGTCAAGCCCCTCTTCCTGGGTGAGGGTATCCCCAGGAAATATAATTAAATAAATCAACCCCAGGGCTGGGAATGGGGGCACGGGGCCAGATTTGGGGGAGTTGAAGGGGAGGAGCACCCCAGCAGTACCACACATACGCTTAGTGGCTGAGGCCCATCACCTGAGCCCCACCCTACCTGCAGGCTCCACCCTTTTTCCCAGCCTCCACCCCCTGGGACACCCCACCCATCACCCCCCCAGGCACAGACACGTTTTTGTGTATATATATATATATATATGTATATGTATATGTACAGACATTCGGGGCCCCTGCTCCCCCCACTGCAACGAGGGACGAGGCCAGGGGGTACCCCTGCAGCGCCCCCCCCAACTGGAGTGCCTTTAAATAGGGGTCACCCACATCCCACGGGGACCCCTGGGGACATCCTGCCCCCCAGGGGGTCAAGGTACAACACCAAAGAGGAGGAGGAGGGAGGTCCCAGGGGAGGGGGACCTAGGAATTGGGGTGTTCCTGGGGTGGGGGTTCCCAGGTGAGGGTCCCTGGGCTGAGGTTTGAGCCTGGCAGGAGAGGAGCCCTGGACTGGGGGTCCTGGGGGTAGGAGGATCCCTGGATCAAATTCCCCCATGCGGGGGCTGTGCCCACATCAGGGGGTCCCCATCATGGGGGGGCCACCCCGGCAGGGCTGTGCCCAAACTGGGGTGTCCCAGTGTAGGACAGTACCCACGCTGGGGTGTTCCCTGGGTGGGGTGTCCCTGTCCCTGCAAGGGGTGTGTCCCCACGTGGGACATCTGCGTCCCTGCGTGGCGTGACCCCACGTGGGACATCCCTGTCCCGGTGCAGGATGTCCCTGTCCTGGTGCTACTTTTCGGTGAGGGAGAGGCGCAGGATGCGCTGGAGCTCCTCGTCCTCCTCACGCCGCCGCCGCTCCCGCTCCTCCTGCTCCCGCTCCGACAGGGCCATGGCCAGGCGCAGCTGCTCCGCAAAGCTGCCATACTCGGGGGGGCCTGGGGGGCTCCCCCCACCCGCGCCGGGGGGGCTCCCGGCGGCCGGGGGCTCGGTGCTGGGCCTGGCCTGCAGCAGCATGCTCTCCTGCAGGGCCCTGCCAGGGGACAGCAGACGTGGCCGTGTCCCCTTTGTGGAGGCCACACCCCCTCTGTGAAGGCCACACCCCCTCTGGCACACCTGTGCCCCACCCACCCCAGGTGGACACTCCCCACCCCACGCTCCACCCACCTGCCAGCCACACCCACACCGGTCACTAGCCCCGCCCTCTATGGCCACACCCTTTGGACAGCAAGAAGCTCCTCCCCTTTTTGTCACCCCCAAACCTTGACATTGCTAAGCCCTGCCCCTCATGGACCTGCTCCCTCCCACCAACTTTTTAAGCCCGTTTAGGCCACACCCCTCTGCCCCACCCCAACGCCTTTAGGTCCCTCCCTCCCACCAGGTGAGGTGGGTGTGGCACCCCCCACCCCGCGGGTGGAGCCCCACCTCTCCAGCTGCAGGTCCTCGTCGTAGGGCGGCGGCTCCGCGCCCGGGCGGGTGTTGGTCAGCGCCTCCCAGATGGTCACCTGTGGGGCGGGGCTGCAGGTGAGCAGCTGTGGCCAGGTGAGGGGGTGTGGCCAGGTGAGCAGGTCTGGCCAGGTGAGGGGATGTGGCCAGGTGAGGGGGGTGTGGCCGCACCTGGTCGGTCTCGGTGCCGGCGTCCAGCAGGCTCTGCTGGATGGCGAACTGCAGCAGGTCATCGTCCTCGTCCCGCAGGGGCTCGCTGCGCCCCGCGCCCAGCACGGTGTACCCCGCGGGCACCTCGAACACCCCCGCCTCCACCTCGCACGGGAACGGCCAGGCTGCCGTGGCAGGGGGGCTGTCAGCACCCGCGGGTGTCCCACAGCACCCCACACCCACGGCATCCCACGGAACACTGTGCCCACAGCACCCCGTGGCACCCCGAGGCATCCCATGGCACCCCCCACGTCCCACGACATCCCACGGTGTCCCACAGCATCCCATGGCACCCCACGGCGTCCCATGGACGCCCACAGTATCCCACAGCACCCTGCACCCATGGCACCACACAGCACCCTGTGGAATACCATAGCACCCCACAGTGTCCCATGACACCCCACAGCATCTCATGGCACCCTGTGGCATCCCACGGCACCCCACATCATCCCACAGTGTCCCCTGGCGCCACACAGCATCCACACCCACCCCGTTCCCCTGAGCACCCCATGCCACCCTGAGTCCACGGGGATCCCATGGCTCCCAGCACCCCCCGGCTCCCCTAGCCTCACCTCTGGGCCCGGGGGGGTCGGTGCCGGGGGGCTGCTGCGGGGCACAGATCCGCACGGAGCCCAGTGGCTGGTCACACCCGCACAGGTTGCTGAAGGTGATGCGGGCGTTGAGCACATGGAACAGCGGGATCTCTGCGGGCACAGGCATCAGTGGCTCCGCCCCTCATTGAGCCCTGCCCCTAATTAATCCCATCCCGACTAAGGCCCGCCCTCACCGATCTTGACGGGGAAGCCGGGGGGCAGCTTGAGGGTGATGAAGTCGCGCAGTTTGGCGAAGTGGGCGTTGGAGATGGCCATGAGGTCGATGATGGGCGTCACCTGCTCCGCCAGCGACAGCGGGTGCTGCTCGCACAGCCACAGCGTCGCCTTGAACCTGCCCGGGCACCGCCGTGGGCACGGGGACCCGCTGGGGACACCGCCCGGCTCCGGGGACACCGCCCCAGGGCCCCGGCACCGCCCCCGCGGGGACACACTTGGGATGCATGTCACCACTCCCAGGGTTCCTGACACACACTGCCGTGTCCCTGGGGACCTTGTCACCACCCCAGCATCACAGCCCCTGGGACCATGTCACCGCCCCTAGGAGTCCTGACACCCCATGCCATGTGCCAGGGACCCCACCACAACCCGGTGGGCCCTGACACCCAGTGCCACATCCCTGGGGCCCCGTTATGGGTCCTGACACTCCACGCCACGGCCCCTGGGACCCTGCCAGCACCCCAGGGGTCATGGCCCTGGGACAGCGTCACCACCCCTGTGTCACATATCCCAGGGCCCTGTCACCACCACCACGGGTCCTGTCACCTGGTGTCACGTTCCTGGGACTTCTGACAGCTGGTGCCACATCCCCAGGATCCCATTACCACCCCATGGATCCTGACAGCTGATACCACATCCCCTGGATCCTGTCACCACCCAGTGCCATGTCCCCATGATGTCTGTCCCCTCGGGGCAGTGGCCTCACCTCTGCACTTTGCTGGACATCTCGATGGGGCGCCCGATGTTGCGGGTCTCGAGGTCGAAGTGGGGGTCAAAGTACTCCTCGGGGGTGATGGCCGTGGGGTTGGTGGGGCTGGCAGCCTGCAGCACGGGCGCCTGCGGGGACACCAGCGCTGCTCAGCCCCACCAGGGACCGCCAGTCCCCACTGGGGACCCCCAGTCTCCCCGGGAACCCCCTGGCCCAGTCACTCACCCCGTTGTGGGTGCCGTGCTGCTGTGCAATGCCCAGGAAGGAGTGGAAGGGGGTCTTGGAGCCTGGGAGGAGAGGGGAGTGCAGGGGTGCAGCGTGGGCAGTGGGGGGGCACCCCTGGGGCTGCCCAGGCTGCCACCAGTCACACCCTGCGTGGGCTGCCACACCTGATGGGTGACACCCCAAACGGTGTCCCACGCCTGGCATGTCACACTCCGCACCCGGTGTCCCACACCTATCACATGTCACACCCCACACGCTGTCCCACCCCTGGGGGACGCCTGTCCCACACCCAGTGTCCCACACCCAGTGTCCCACCCTGGAAGGGGGTGGGCTTTGCCCAGGAGTGGCCATGTCCCCGCTGTGCACAGGCCCCTGACTGGCTGCCGGGGCTGTCACCTTTACTGCGTGACTTGTCCTGGTCCGACAGATGCTCCGTCCTGGTCTTGGTGACCAGCTCCACGTTACTGGCGCTGTACACCTGGGGGGCGACACCGTCAGCCCCGCCACGCTCCGGGGTGTCCCCGGCGTCCCCCCCCATTCTCTGTGCCCACCTTGGCCTCGTAGCCGCTGACCACCTCCATCTTCTCCGAGCGCCAGCCCCAGATCCCAGACTTGTTCCTGGGAGGGTGGAAGGCGTCAGGTCCCCACGGGGGGGGTCCCCACAGCCGCTCACCCTCTCCTTGCGCAAGCGTTTTCCTTCCTTCCCCTCCGCACGTGCCTCCCCCTGGCCACGGCCCCTTCCCGCCGAGTGTCACCACCCCCGCCACGCCAGGGCGCTGTCCTCGCCCTTCCCACCTCTCAAAGGCGATGTTCCGGGTGTCCAGGTGCGTGGAGACGATGGGGGAGGTGAGCCTGCCGGCCACGTGCTCCTCGGTGGGCTGCATGGCCGCCAGCAGCAGGTCGGGCTCGTGCAGGGCCAGCGCCAGCGTCTCCGTGTACACCACCTGCTTGTCGTGGTCCACCTCCATCACCACGGCCCCCTCGTCTGCGGGGGGACACCGGGGGGTCGGCACACAGCCCCCCATGGCACCCTGACACCCCCCAGCATGGGGGTCCCTGCGGGCTCTGGGGGAATTGGGAGTCCCTGGTATGTGTGGGGGCTGAGATGGTCCCCTCGGGAAGGGGGAACTGGGGTCCCAGGGGGTCGCTATAGGAGATCTGGGATCCTTAAAGGGCAGTACTTATAATGCAGGGGGTCTTGGGGAGGCATTTGGAGATTGCCTGAGCATATCTGGGGTTCCAGGGGGTCCCTACAGGGAATCTGGTAGGTGCTTATGGTGGTATTTATAGTGCAGGGGGTCTGGGTGGCTCTCCAGGTGACTGGAGGTTCCCAAGAGGTCCCTATAGGGAATCTGGGGTCCCTACAGGGATGTACTTTTAGTGTAGGGGTTCTGGGGGCTCCCCACAGGGACTGGAGGGTTCCCAGGTTTATCCAGTGTGCCAGGGGGTCCAGATAGGTCCTTACAGGGAGGTACCTATAGTGCAGGGGGTCTGGGAGAGTGACTAGAGAGTGTCTGGGGTCCCAAGGGGTCCCTACAGGGGATCTGGGGTCCTTATGGGGATGTAAATATAGTGCAGAGGTGTGGGGGATTCCCAGGGTGACTGGAGGGTGCCAGGGGGTCCCGGGGGGGGGGCTGGAGCTGACCTTCCCCCTTGAAGATGTAGCTGCGGCGGCCGCGCTGCCACGTCATGTGCTCGAAGCCCAGCAGGGTGGTGTCCACCCGCAGGCTCTCGCCGCGCTTCCACACGCGGTACACGTCACTGGGGCACACCTTGGACACCAGCGGCACTGCGGGCACGGGGACCCCCTCAGACACGCGCCCGGGGGGCTCCCGGGACACCCACAACCCGCAGAGCCCGGCCACGCTCACCCCAGCTGGTGAACTCCCACTTCATCTCCACGTAGAAGTCGGACGCCTGGAAGGGATGAGGAGCAGGATGAGCTGGGGGTCCCTGCTGGGGGAGTCCTGGGGGCAGGGATTGGGGTCCCCATAGGTGGGGATATGGGGATCTGGGAGAGTGGGGTCATGGGTGGGGGTCCACGGGGAAGGATAAGGAGGGGGCCCCAGGGAAAAAGGATAAGCACAGGATCCCCAGGCAAAGAGTGGGGTTAGTGGGGGGTTCTGGGGAGAATTGGGATTCCCTGCTGGGGTTACTGGGGAGGTGGGGAGTCCTGGGGGAAGGGACTGGAGTTCCTATTTGGGTCCTATGTGGGGATATGGGGATCAGGGAGGGTGGCTTCATGGGTGTAGGTTCACAGGGATGGATAAGCAGAGTGTCCCCAGGGAAAGAGTGGGGTCAATAGGGAGTTCTAGCAAGATTTTGGGGGGTCCCTCCTGAGGTCACTGGGGAGGTGGGGAGTCCTGAGGGAAGGGATGGGCGTCCCTACTTAGGCCCTGGGTGGGGATCAGGGTGACCTGGGGGAGTGGGGTCATTGGTGGAAGCCAAACAGGGGATCCCCAGGGAAGGAGTGGGGTCAATGGGGAGTTCTGGGAAGACCTGGGGGAAGTTCTGGGAAGATTCTGGGCAGTGGGGAGTCTGGGGGGCAGGGATAGGTGTCCTTACTGGGGTCCTGGGTGGGGATGAGGGCAACCTCATGGGTAGGGGTCATGGGTAGGGGTCTCCAGCAAAGGAACAGGGTTGATGGGGGTTCCTGGGGAGGTTTGGGGGTGCAGAGGCCGTGGTGGGCCCCAGCTGGGGGGGTCTGTACCCGCCGGAGCTTGCTGAGCAGCTCGGGGATGCCGGCGAGCCGCCGCGTCGCGCGCTGGTAGTCGCGGTACTGGAGCACCAGCTGCACCATCTCGGGGTCCCCCGTGCTCACGGCCTCCTGCAGCACTGGGGGGCAGGGGGCAGGGTCACCCGGGGGCCGTGGTGGCGGTGTCCCTGCGTCCCCGCGGTGCCCCCGTACCCGTCCATCCGTTGGCGTTCTCCCGGCCCACGTTGGCGTTGTGCCGCAGCAGCACCCGCACCGACTCCAGGTGGCCCAGGGACACGGCCAGCTCCAGGGGTGTCCGCCCACGGGGGTCCGTCAGCTCCACGTCATGCTGGAAGGGTGGCAGGGTCACTGCCCCCCGGGCACCCTGTGCCACCCAGTGCCCCCCAGTACTCCCCCTGCATCCCCCTGCTCCCAAGGCCTAGTGCTCCCAGTTACCCCCCAGCTCCAGTGCTCCCAGCCCCTCTCCTCCCAGTGCCCTCAATTTCCCAGCCCCTCTTCTCCCAGTGTCACAGAGCCTCCCCCCCCAAGTCTCCCTGTATCCCAGTGCTGCTATCCCAGTGCTCCCAGTTGCTTCCTGATCCCTGGTGCTACAGTCCTCTATTATCCCAGTGTCACCAGTCCTACCAGTGCCACCAGTTCTTCCAGTGCTCCCAGTCCCCTCTGTCCTAGTCTCCCTTAGTACTCCCCTTCCCCCTCAGTGCTTCCAGTCTTCCTCCAGTGCTCCCAGTCTCCCCAGTCTCCCCTAGTGCTCCTGGTGGTCCCTCCCACCCAGTTATCAGTCCCCCATGTTGCCAGTCTCCCACAGTGCTCCCAGCCTCCCCCAAATGCTCCCAGTCCCTCCCAGTCCTCCCAATCCCCTGTACTCCCAGTCTCCCCTAGTGCTTCCAGTCGCCCTGCAATGCTCCCAGTCCCCTCCCAAGTGCTCCCAGTCCTCCCAGTGTTCTGTGCCCCCAGCCTTCCCTAGTGCTCCCAGCCTCTCTCCAGTGCTCCCAGTCCTTACAGTACCAACCCCCCCAGTGCTTCCAGTTTCCCCTAGTCCTGCAAGTCCTGCCAGAGCTCCCAGTCTCCTGTACCCCAGTTTCCCCAGTTCCCTGTACCTCATCTCCCCCCCAGTGCTTCCGATCCCCCTGTAAGGCTGCCAGTCCTCCCAGTCTCCCTCAGTGCTCCCAGTCCTCCCAATAGCCTGTGCCCCCCAGTCTCCCCTAGTGCTTCCAGTCCCCTCCCCAGTGCCCCCAGTCTTCTCTATTGCTCCCAGTTTCCCTCCAATCCTCCCACTACTTCTCCCACACTGCTCCCAGTTTCTCCCAGTGCTTCCAGGCCCCGTGGTGCTCCCAGTCCTCCCATCAGTCTCCCTAGCGCTTCCAGTCTGCTCCTCATGCTCCCAGTCCTGCCTACTGCTCCCAGTCTCCCTCCAGTCCTCCCAGTCCCCTTCCCACACTGCTCCCCATTTCCCCCAGTGCTCCCAGTCCCTCCAGCGCTCCCAGTTTCCCCAGTGCTCCCAGTCCTGCCTACTGCTCCCAGTCTCCCTCCAGTCCCTCCAGTCCCCTTCCCACACTGCTCCCCATTTCCCCAGTGCTCCCAGTCCCTCCATTGCTCCCAGTCCTGCCTACTGCTCCCAGTCTCCCTCCAGTCCCTCCAGTCCCCTTCCGACACTGCTCCCCATTTCTCCCAGCGCTCCCAGTTTCCCCCAGTGCTCCCAGTCCTGCAGGTCCACCCAGCACGGCCCCGTATCCCCATTCCTCCCATTCCCCCGCCCCCGGCATTCCCAGCGCTCCCAGTGCCCCCATCCCCGCTGCCGCGAGCCCCCGCTCTCTCCCCGCGCTCCCATCCCGCTCCCATCCCGGTGCGCGGTGGATTGGGGTGGGGTGGGGGTGGGTTGCGAGGGTGGGGGGGGGTGCCCGTTCTCCCCGGTGCCATTCCCGGTGCCGCTCCCGGTGCCGCTCCCGGTGCCGCTCCCCCACCGTCCCCGCGCGCAGGGCGCTGTCCAGCGCCTGGTGCCGGTTGTGCCAGACGAGCCGGTGCAGCGGGAAGGTGTCGGCGGGCCGGGCCATCCCCGCACCATGTCCTTTTTATCCCTCCCCCGCCCCGCAACCCGCGGGGGCCGCCGGACGGGCCGCAGCGCGGGGCCTTGCCCGCAATGGCTGCGCGGGGGCGGCGGCGGCGGCGGCGCAGAGCGGCGGCTGGGGCGGGGCCGCACCGGGCACCGGCAGCGGCCACCGGCGCAGGGGAAGGGGAAGGGGAAGGGAAAGGCGCCGGCATCCCGAATGGCACCGGCGGCAGCGCCGGGATCCGCCGTGCCGCCGTGCCCGGTGCCGTTCCGGGATGGACATCGGCACCCGGAACGGCACCGGGCACGGCGGCACGGCGGATCCCGGCTCGTCCGCGTCCCGGGGGCTCCCTGACCCCCCTTTTTGTCAGCTCTGTAGAGCTCAGGGACCACCGTGCACCCGGATTCAGGCTCACCCCGTTTTACCCCATCTCATCCCACCCTGTCCAACCCTCATCCTCATCCTCATCCCGGGGGCTCTCTGACGCCTTTTATGTGGTGACATCAGTCCTGTGGTGAGTGAGTGCTCAGGACCGCTGTGCGGCTGACTGTGGGCTTATCCCATCCCATCCCATCCCATCCCATCCCATCCCATGCCATTCCATTCCATCCCATCCCATCCCATGCCATCCCATCCCATGCCATCCCATCCCGTCCCATCCCATCCTCGGGAATGCCGGAGCACAGCCCCCCGACGCGCTGCCCGCAGGCAGGGCGTGCACAGGAGAGGTGCCACCTGCACCGCCCGGCGACAAGGGGACGGCCAAAGTCACCCCCACAGACAAAGCACAGCAAAGGGGGGGGACGCGACCCCCAGCACTGCCCGCTGACACCCGGGACACCCACCCTGAAGGGCTGGGAGACACCCGGGAATGTCCCCAAAGTGCCAGTGTGTCCATGGGGGGACACACAGGGGCAGCCCCCACATCACAGGAGGTGACAGGGACATGGTGACACCTTCAGTGGGCACGGTGACCTCTCTGCCCCCCGCAGTGAGGCGGAGCCAGGTGGTGTTTTCCTATATTTTTATTATAAAAACTCTTTTTTTTTTTGGCATTCTCACGTCTCTGCTCATGAAAATCTCACTCACTCGTTGACCCCCCCCTCTGCCCAGTGCCCCCCATGCCCAGTGCCCCCTCAGTCCCTGGAGCAGAGCGACCAGAAACCAATATTTACAGATGCTGCCAGGAACTGGGGAGGGGGGGAACCCCTTTGCCCATCAGGAGGCTGATTTTGGGGGAGGGGTCCCACCTAATCCCTCTCCCCTGGGAAGGGGGGGTGGCAGTGGGCTGGGGGTGCCCCCCTTGCCCTGGGGGGTGGCAGGAGGGGCAGAGGCAGAGCTGGGGGGTGCAGGGGACCTGTGGCACAGTATTTACAGGGGGTCCCCCCGGCACACACACACACACACACACACACACGAGGAGTTGGCACCCACGGGACAGGCACAGCCACACGGGGAGGGGGGGACACACTGGCACCCACCGACCCCTTTGGCACACGCGGCAGTGGGGCAGCGGGTGGGCAGGGACGGGCAGGGGCGCGGGGGCTGCCTTCATCTGAGCCGGAGAGTTCGTGGAGGATCAGGGTGGGGACACCAGGAGAGGTGCCCAACGCCAGCGGCGTCACTGCAGCCGTGCCCCTGGGGTGGCACCAGCCCCAGGAGACACGGGAGGACACGCGGGAACCCAACCCAATAAATTAGAGGCGGGGTGGGAAGGGGGGAAAGGACACCCGGAGTGGGTCAGAGCCCGTTGGGGGAGCGCTGGATGAAGGGCACTTTGCTGAGCTCCACCACGGGCGAGCGGGGCTTGTTCTGCATGCGGGGCACCCTCTGCAGCAGCTGCTGCGCCTGGCGCTGCGCGTCCCGCAGCTCCTTCCGCCACTGCACCAGCTCGGGGTCGCTCTGCGGGGCAGGCAACGGGTCAGGAAGGGCTCCTGGAGGGGACAGGGCAGGGGGACAGGGTGGCCAGGAAATGCCCGGGGCAGGGAACAGGTCAGGACAGGCTCCCCAGGACACCAGGGCAGAGGACAGGGTGGCCAAGGACTCCCCAGGCAGCGCACAGGGTGACAGGCTCCCCAGGGCGCCAGGGAAGGGTATGGAGTGGTTGGGTGCTCCCCAGGGCAGGGCATAGGGTGCCAGAGCAGGGGACTGGTGGTCTGGGGCTCGCTGAGGCACCAGGGCAAGATTCGGTTTGTCAGGAGGGACTGCCCAGGGTGCCAGGGCAGGGCACATGTGCTCCCTGGGGCAGGGCATGGATCAGATAGGTTCTCCCCACGGCACTGAGGCAGGGAACAGAGTGGTTTGGGACTCCGTGGGGTGCCAGGACAAGGTACAGGGTGTTTTGGGTCTCCCTGGGTTCTGGAGCTGCCCTGAGCTTTCAGCATTCATGCCCTGTCATGGCTTGAAGGACTAAATGTGCAGAGCTAGTGGCCAGCAGGAGGTGGCCAGCAGCTGGCAGGAGATGGATAGTGCCCAGCAGAGGATGGCTAGTGACAGCCTGGAGGTGGCTACTACCTAGCAGAGGGGATGGCTAGCAGTTAGCAGGAGGTGGCCAGCACCCAGCAAGGTCTGGTTAGTGGCCGGTGGGAGCGAGCAGCACTCAGGGGAGATGGCCAGCAAGGGGGCAGGGGGTGGCCAGCCCTAGGGGTGACCCAGGGGGAGGGGGGCACACTCACATCACACTGCAGCACGAACTGCTTGCCCCCGCGGATGCGGAGCAGGATGCACTTGCGCTCCTTCACCTGCGTCTCCTCCACCGAGTCGATCTCCTCCATGGTGAGCAGGGACTGCTGGGGGGACAGGCTCAGCCCGGCCCCTGGGCCCCCACGCCCCCAAACCCCTCGCAGTGCCCACCCAGTGCCGCAGCCCCCCAGTCCCGTGCCGTGCCCGCCTTACCGGCGACTCGCCCTCCCCGCGCCACTCGAGGCGGTTGGGGAAGAGGTAGAAGTAGCGGCGCTGCCACTGCGTCAGGAAGGGGTTTCCCAGCTTGGCCATGTACCCGTGCATGATGCAGTCCTTGCCCATGGCATACTCTGTGCCCAGGAGAGGCAGGGTCAGCCCCGGGTGCATCCTGAGGGGACTGTCAGGACGGAGGTCCCCGGCCCCACTCACCCTCCTCGTGGCCCAGCTGCTTGTTCTTGGCTTTCTTGCGGGCCTCCAGCTTGTCGGTGTCGGCGTTGACGGCGTCGAAGACGGTCTCGGTCACCTCCTGCTGCCAGCGCTCCGAGATGGTGAGCGGGAAGTTGCGGTACAGCTCCTGGTCGCTCTCCAGCAGCTGGGCAGGGCGGGGCGCCAGGGTGAGGGGCTGCCGGGCACCCCACGCCCCCACACCCGGCCCCTGCGCCCCGGTACCTTGATGCCCTTGGTGTCCTCCTCGTCGAAGGAGCCGATGTCGAAGGCGTCGGCCGCGTTCACCTCGCCGCGGGGCGGGACGAGGGGCGGCGGGTACTGCGGGTAGGAACGGGGGGTCACAGGGGTGGCTGCCCCTGCCCGTGTCCCTGTCCCCAACCACGGGCGTAGCGCCTCTCACCTTCTGCAGGAAAACCATCTGCCAGTCCAGGCCCTTGAAGAAGGGCTCCTCCTTCACCTCCTGAGCCCTGGGGAGGCAGGAGGGCGGGTGAGCTGCGCTCTCAGAGCAGTGCACCAGCACACCCTCCCCAGCAGCCCGGGGGTCTCGGGGCACTCACCCACGCCCCATGCAGCCCAGGCGCCGGTTGACATCCCGCTGCAGCAGCCCCTCCAGCAGAGAGCGCAGCTCCGGGGAGAAGGAGTCTGGCAGCTCCACAGCCTGTGGGAGATTCCACGAGCACACTGGCACCAAGGGACAGGGATAGGGACGCACACAGATGTGCACAGGATACACACAAATGGGCACGAACATGCACTGTGGGCAGAGCTCAGCGTGAAGGACCAGCTGTCCCTGACCCTCCACATCCCCAGTGAGCCCCTCAGGTCACCACCAGCACGTGGTGGGGGGCACAGCAGCCCAGAGGTGCTCGTGCCCTGCCCTCACATCAGCACCCCTGGCACACACACACACACACAGGGGAGCCCCCACTCACCATGGTGAGGGTCATCCGGTCGATCTCGTGCTTGTCCTTTGTCTTGTGCTGCCGAAACGGGCTGTGCCTGCAGCATCAGTGGAGGGGGGGGTCAGCAGTGCCCACCTGGGCCCACCCACACCCACCCGAGCCCGACACTCACCCTCGGAGCAGTTTGAAGAGCATGCAGCCCAGGGAGAACCAGTCGGCGCTGCTGTCGTACGCCACCCCCTTCTGCAGCACCTCCGGCGCCATGTACCCGTGGGTGCCCCTGGGGAGGGGCACAGGGGGGTCAGGGGCCGCCCCGGGCGGGTGGGCAGGGTGGGCAGGGGTGTGGGCACACTCACACGCTGGCGTGGGGCTTCTTCTTGGAGAAGTCGCAGGCCAGGCCCAGGTCAGAGATGCGGACGTGCCCGAACTCGTCCAGGAGGATGTTTGCTGGCTGCCAAGACACGGCATTCCCCCTGAGCCCACAGGCACAGCTGGGGAGCTCTCTGGGATTTGGGGTGTCCAAAGGACTGAGATGGGACTGGGAAGTGCTGATGGGGTCAGCAAGTACCCGCCCTGAGGTCTCAGAGTCTGCCACTGATGTTAGGGGGCTCCCTAAGGGTGTGGGTGCCTGTGGGGACGGTCACCTTGAGGTCACGGTACACGACGAAACGGCTGTGCATGTGCTCCAGGCCCAGGATGATCTCGGCAGCGTAGAACCTCATCTCCGCCTCCGAGAAGACGCCGTGCTGGGACAGGTGATAGTGCAGGTCCCCCCCTGTGACCACAGGGACCAGCTGTCACCCTGGCACTGCCTCCTGGAGCCATGGGGTCCCTTGGTACCGGGGTCTCACCGTTCATGAGGTCGAGGATGAAGCTGAGCTTGTCGGGCGTGTGGAAGGCGTACGACATGCACACGATGAACGGGCAGTCCTGGCGGGAGACACAGGGGGTGGTCATCCTCCCTGCCCCTGTTCCCTGTGCCCTGCCACAGCCCACCAGCAGGGTGCCAGCCCTGCCCCTGT